GGTACCTCCACCTATTACATAGTATAAGGGAACCAGCAATCTTATTTATTTGTTTTTATTTTACTTTTATTTCTGAGTTATTTTAAGTTTTAAGTTATGTGGGGGATTGTTGGAGTTGTAACTTAAAACTTGGGTTTGTAGAGAAAAAGAGGAAAAGTTTAGTCCCACATAGGAAAAGAGATGGGAGATAGGTTCTTTATAAGCCTTCCCTTTCTCTCCTATGCTTAGAAGAAAATAAATGTTATGCTCCACACCACACACGCACGCGCCGGCCGGGTCGGGCTCGGGCTCGGGGTCGGGTCGTGTCGGGTGACGCGCGCACACGACCTGCGGACACGAATGCAGCTCCGGATTGAGGGGCTGTTGACCTGCTACATTTTGAATTTTTATTTTTTGCTAATTGGAACAATTAAAACGAGATAAGCAATTAAAACGAGCTAAGCAATTAAAACGTGTTAATTATTTGGCTGCGAAAATGAAAACGGCTAGCTAAATAAATGAGCGGGATTTGTGGATAACGGCTGTTTTTTCCCCTATAAAAACCTACACATGCGAAGGCTAAAGACAGAAAAATAAACGAGCTTCTCTTCTTTTCTTCTCTTCAAAATAAAGTTTTCTTGCTGTTATACGCTGGTTCCCTGAAAGCCGAGAAGAATTCACAAAACCTTCTTGAAGCTCGTGCCGACGAGAATGAAGTCGCCTGACCGAGGGTCGTTGTATCTCTGAGAACTTTTGTCGCGTAGCCCTGTACGAGATGGGGCAATTAGATTCTTGGGACATTGCCTTGCACGCCTCGACCATCAGGCCGTATTTCTAACCTTTTTTATATTTTTATATTTTTCGTTACAATCAATTTCATTCTTGTGATAAAATATTAATCTGTTTTTACCTGATATTAATCGTCTATTCAAAACATAATTTCGTGTTAATTATTGTCTAAACAATTAATATTTCCAACAATCCAAGAATCTAATTGAGCTGTTTAGAATAATATCATGTTTAACATCTATAGTATTATGTCAACAGCCAATCCCCCCTTTCTTCATGCTGCTGAAGATGGGTTTTAGTAGGCAAGGGATGACATGGGCCATCCCTTGATTCATGGGATTTGACCATGTGAGGGAGACAGCTTGACTGCTCCTTGAATTATGGGATGTGACCACACGTCGTTCAGAGATATCCTGCTGTTCACAATCCCTTTTTCATGCTGGCTGAAGATGGGTTTTAGTAGGCAAGGGATGACATGGGCCATCCCTTGATTCATGGGATTTGACCATGTGAGGGAGACAGCTTGACTGCTCCTTGAATTATGGGATGTGACCACACGTCGTTCAGAGATATCCTGCTGTTCACCTGCAACAGGAGCGGTCATTCGAGGAGCCGTGTTTTACATCACGTCACTTAGGAATGGGAAAGCCCCTCCTCGTATGCGTGACAGCGGCTGTCAGATACTCGAGTGGATATGGCCAACTCACTGAGCGCCGGCGGCCCTCCCTTCTGCTTGGACAAGTGAGGTAAGCTGCATTTATGAACGCGCAGGTTGATCTGGCATCTGTCCGATCACTCGTACCGTGAGCAGTCATTCGACGGGCCTGGAGTACCGTGTCTTCTCTCTTCAGGCCGAGAGAGGTGGGAAAGCGGGTTCCTGGTACTCGAGTAGGCTTGGACAGCTCGCCGGGTGCTGGCGGATCCGGCTCTTGACTCAGACAGCCGAGGTGAGCTGCATTTATGAATGTTCAGGTCGACTTGACACCTGCCCAACCATTCGTACTGTGAGCGGCCGCTTGACGGTCTTGGGGTACTGTGCCCTCTCCCTTGATTTGTGGGATTTGACCACTGATGTAACTGTTCCCATACTCCAAGTGGGCAGTTGACAGTGAGCTGGCGAGTCTGCAGCGAGGGTCCGCAGGCGAGCTTAGGACTGTAGGCAGACTTGGGTCTGCAGGCGAGCTTGCAGGCGAGCTGAGTCTACAGGCAAGTTTGGGACTGCAGGTGAGTTTGGGACTGCAGGCGGACTTGGGTCTGCAGGCGAGCTAGCAGGCGAACTGG